TGCCATCAGCTCAGCAGTTGGGGAGGCCGAGGCAGGAGGAGTGCTTGAGCCCAGGAGTTTGAGCCCAGTCTCGGCAACATAGCGAGACCTTGTCTCTACAAAAAAATTAGCTGGGCATCATGGCACGTGCCTGGAGTCCCAGCTACTCCAGAGGCTGAGATGGAAGGATGGCCTGAGCCAGGAGGCCGAGCCTGTGGTGAGCTGGGATTGTGCCTCTGCACTTCGGCCTGGGCAAGAGCGAGACCCCGATTCAAAAACAAAAAAAATATGGTGAATGGAGAAACGGAATCATTCCGTGTCTGGTTGGGGGATTGCAAAGGCTTCATGGAGGAGGCACGTTTGAGATAGGCCTTGAAGGAAGGGACATTTCTGCCTGCAGAAAAGGGGATGAGAGTGGGAGGCGAGGGCGGGGAGAGGGCTGCAGGGAGCCTGGCGTGGGCTGGAGGAAGGACAGGAAGCGAGCTGGAGTGAGGTGGAAGTGGTGGAGTGGAGGCTGGGAGGCCGGGAGGCCGGGAGGCAGGCCTGGCCAGGCTGTTAGGGCTGGAAAGCCAGCAGGAAGTGTTGATGTGCTTGGGGCAGGGGTTCTCAAGCAAAGGGAGGCCAGTGTTTACTGCTGCTCTCTGGGCCAGGTTCTACCAGAGGGACCCCCAGAAATAGGAATTATTTTTTGGAGGGTGGGCCCCTTGTAGGACAGGCTTCCCTTGCTAGGTGAGCGTTCTAGGAACCCAACGGCATCAGTGGACCACCTGGCGTTGTTGTGAGAGGTTACATTCCACTTCAGTGAATTTTTTTTTTTGAGTCGGAGTCTCACTCTGTCGCCCAGACTGGAGTGCAGCGGCCGCTCCCGGCCACCGCAGCCTCGACCTGCTGGGCTCTGGCGATCCTTCCGCCTCAGCCTTCCTAGTAGCCGGAATTACAGGCACGCGCTACCATGTCCAGCTAATTTTTGGTTTATTGTAGAGATGAGGTCTTACCAAGTTGTCCAGGTGGGTCTTGAACCCACGGGCTCAGGCAATCCACTCACCTCAGCCTCCCAAAGACGCGGGATTACAGGCTGAGCCACTGAGCCTGGCTACAGTGAATTTTTTTTTTTTGGAGATTCTTTCAACACGTCTGCCCATTTCATGAAGGGTGATTTATAAGCACACCTGCCCATGCCACGCTGAGTGTTCAGCCATTTTTGAAAAAAATGATGACTCCTGTGCCCCACCTTCTCTAGGTCACCCAACCTCACCCTGAGCAGCTTTTTTTTGTTTCCCAGATGAAAAAAGTCCTCAAGGGGAAACATTTTGCCAATGTGGATGAGGTGAAACAAAATACAGCAGAAGCACTAAAAGGCATCAAAACTGACGTGTTCAAAAACTGTTTTGAGCAGTAGAAAAAGCATCTTGATAGATGTGTTGCATCAAATGAAGAGTACTTTGAAGGTGACTGAAGTTTAAACATGTAAGAAAAAACACACTATTTTTATTTTTGAGTTGGAGTCTTACTCTGTCACCCAGGCTGGAGTGCAGTGGCACGCTCCTGGCCACTCCAGCGTCGACCTGCTGGGCTCCGGCAATCCTTCCACCTCAGCCTTCCACGTAGGTGGAACCACAGGCAGTGTCACCATGCCCAGCTAGTTTTTTGATTTATTGTAGAGACTTGGTCTCGCTATGTTGCTCAGGCTGGTCTTGAACCCCTGAGCTCAGGCAGTCCTCTCTCCTCTGCCTCCCAAAGTGCTGGGATTATAGGCGTGAGCCACTGCACCAGGTCAACACACTATTTTTAATAAATAAATTCTGGTTTTTTGGGGGTCCTCCCTCATATATTGCCAGTGGATGGTGGGAGGGAGAAGGATGTGGAGACAGTGAGGAGGCTGCCAGGGGGGTCCAGGTGGGCAGACGGGGAGAACCCCTGGGATGACAGCCTGGTAGGAAGGTCAAGGATGACTGCAGGAAGCTCTGGGAGCGGGAAAGCGGGGGGGCTCCAGGAAGCTGACGGATGCAGAGGCCAGGGCAAAGGAGGACCCAAGGACAAAGGCAGGTCCCCGGGCTGGGCAGTGCCAGGGCCACGGTGTGGCTGGGCAGACAAGGAAGTCGGCAGAGCTGATTTGGGTGAGGCAGGGAAAGACAAGGGCTCCGTCTGGGTGGACGGTTGGAAACGCAGGTCTGGGGCCAGGGCTAGGACTGGACGCTTGCGAGTCATTCGCGTAGTCACCACTGTCATCATCAAGGAGCTGCCCCCGTTGAGCCCCAGCTCTGGGCCGCCGCTGCATGGAATGATTTAATCCCACAAGCTACAGGGTCAGCAGGATTAGCCTCGTTGAACAGATATAGAAAGAGTTCGAGGCAGTCAACACATTCGAGGCCAACCAGCAGGGAGAGGCGGGGCTGGGAGACCGGGGCTTCCCTTGTTTATGGCTTGCTCGTCAATCCATCAAAGGAGAGGGAAGTTACGATCCTGGACGAGGCTCTCTGAGGGAAGGCGGATAGGGAGGGAGAGGATATTAGCCTGGGGAATGTGTTTAGAGTGGTCTCAGAGGCGCTGGCCACACGGCTGCCCTCTTAATGTGTCATTCATTACCACCCATTCAGCGCTGCGCTAATCACTTCCAAGCCCTATGTCATGGAGGATGCTCGGAAGTGAACGGGGAGAAAAGTCACATGTGTGGGGACTGGAGGGTGGCACATGTGCGACGTGTAACTAGCATGCGCAGGGGTTTGGGGCACGAGGATCTAGGATTAAGGAGCTGTAGGGAGGCATGAAAACCAAAACAGATCAGGTCGTGAGCCCTGGGGAGAGCCTCGAGGTGGGGACATGTCAAGAGCTGCCTGAAGGAGGGAGGAGGGAGGGCGGGGACAGGTCACAGAGCAGGTCATTGCTGGCCTTCCTGAGAGCCCTCGTGTGGAATGAGAGCCGCAGGAGCCAGAGCCTGGGATTCTGGACACATGCGGTGGGCCTGTTGTCTGGCATTTGTCGTTGAGTGACGCAGGGGGTAGACACGTCTTCCAAGAGGTGAGTGGAGATACCAGGAGGCCAGGTGCAGTGGCTCACGCCTGTAGTCCCAGCACTTTGGGAGGTCGAGACAGGAGGGTCACTTGAGTCCAGGAGTCTGAGACTCTACCAAAAAACAAGCCAACCACCACCAAAATTAGCCGGGAGTTGTGGCTTGTGTCTGTAGTCCCAGTTCCTTGGGAGGCCGAGGCAGGAGGATCACCTGAGCCCAGGAAGCCAAGGCTGTGATGAGCCGTGATTGTGCCACTGTACTCCAGCCTGGGTGACAGAGTAAGACCCTGACTCAAAAAAGAAAACAAAGAAAGTAGGAAGAAGGAGATCCAGCCAGTACCCCAGAGGTACGGAGTCACGCAGAGTGATGCCGTTGCCTGGGGCATCTGGGAGGGTCTGTAGGCAGCTGTAAGGCGGCAAATAGTAGGCAGAGACTGGCAAACCCAATCAAAGAGTGCCTGGAGGGAGACATGAACAGCCCAGGAGGCAGGCGGGGGGACGTCCACGGTGGGTCCGATGAGAAGGGCCTGAGAATCACAAAGATAACCCTGGGATGAATTATTTCATGCATCCAATACTGAAGGCATCCTGTGTCCTGCGCATTGTCCAGGTGCTAGAGATTGAGCAGGAAATGTGGCAGGCGAAGTCTCTGTCTTCGTGGGACTTAATGTCTAGTGCCAGGCTTCATGCGACAAATTCAGGAAGTTATCATCTGGTTTCTCGTCTGCCTGGGTGAAGCGTAGACATTCCCCAGCAATAGGAAGAGCCTCCAGAGTTATCTCAGCCAGTCTTCTGCCCCTAAGCGAGCTGACACCATGTGAAGAGATGGACCTCTTTGCCATTTTGAAGGATCTCAGGCAATGGATTTCATACTCTTCCTCTGCTGCCAACAGCATCTCATAACCTGAAAAGAAGGTTCTTGGGCCTGGGTTTCCCTAGGACTATAGAAGAGGCCAGGTGAAAAAGAGACATGAATCCCATGCCTCGGGTCAGTTTTCACTAGTCCCACCCATACTCAAGGGAAGGGGATTGTACAGGACTTTTCCACCCTACCCCCTGGT